CAAACCTTGTATGAATCAATCGTAGAATTTAAGTTGTAATTACTGCAAAAGGTGGTCCTACACCATATGAAAATAAATTTGTTTTTAAATTTACAGGTGTTTCCATTATTCTGTCTAATCATGTATGTATGTGTATATATATATATATATATATATATATATATATATATATATATATATATATATATATATATAATCGACATTGAGGTCAATACCGTACTTTTGTCATATATAATCGACATTGAGGTCAATACCGTACTTTTGTCACACACACACATATATATATATATATATATATATATATATGTTAGCTCTATCTCTGATATTGAGCGCTTTCTAATAAGTACCCGCATATAATATATAAATAATTATACATACTTATATTTATTTATATTTATATACACTTTTCACACACACACACACACACACACACACACATATATATATATATATATATATATATATATATATATATATATATATAGTTAAGTTATGAAGAACTTGGTAAACCGAATGGGTAATTCCAAGGAGTTACATTACCCATCAATTTCTAATCCCATTTTTCCTTTCATTTCATTGTTGGAAGTGTTAGCTGATGATCCGGAGTCCTTTAAAAAGGATTTTGGTGAAATAAATTATTGTAATGGTACCTTAAAGTGGTCTGTTTTTCATTAGGTAAGATGAAAATGAATTGAGTACAATTTCAACGTTCGTAATATTTAATTTAAAAGAGGGCCAATCTTCTTTATTTCAGGATATTGCATCGAAAACATGTCAAAATCGCTACACAATTACAGACGTGTTTCGATGTGTATCAACGTATCTCATCAGGCGATTGTAAATTACTGGCGAGTGAAAGATTCATTCAGTTTTAAAAGCAAAATACAACCTCTTTTTACGACAAAAACGAAAACGTGGGGGTTATACTATTTGTGGGCTTTCATATATATATATATTATAATTAAATTGTTTAATATAATATATATAAATATATATATATATATATATATATATATATATATATATATATATATATATATATATATCGGCATGTTCAGTATCGAGGTTAGAGCGTATATATGGCGAACATTTTTGAGAAAAATTCATTCTGCCTTCAAAATCACTCTCCATCCTAGACGGTGAATGTCTTGCTTAAAGCCTAGCTTCAGATAAACAAATTATGCTAATTTAACAATCCAGACAAATTTAGAATGAAACTATAATTCATGCTAAAATTAAGCTTATGGTTATATCAGGTTAAAATTAAACAACGTCGAGCCTGCTCATTACGTAGATTGGTGACCTCTTCGGAATTTCAGGTGCTGTAATCTTGGATGTCCAGGTGGCGTAATGCATACGGCACGGCTCTGAAAATCTGCGAGTCGAGTTCCAATTTCAGTCGTTTTCTTTATATTCACTTATGCAGCAATTTCGTTTTGAAATGTATGAATCCACCTGTTCTGCCTCTCCTGCTATGGGTTAAATAATAGAACTTATATCACTAAATAGTTATTGTCTCCCAGACATTTCCTACACTTTAGAATATTTTCTGGCATTAAATAACCTGCAATCTGTTGATAAGACGTAAAAACATATAAATCATTCATGTTAGATGTAAGGTATATCTTAATTTTTTTGCTCCCAAGTCTACCCTGACCCGAAGTGGTAGCACCTGCTAGGATCCCAGCTATGGGCAAATAGTGAATCTCCTAGCAAATACAAAACACTATAAAAGTATAAAAATATATTTTTATATAAAATGTACAAAATGTACATTTTTACAGAAAATTACTAATAATACCTATTTATACATGGTTCCCCACAAAAAACAAAAAAAAAAAAAAAAAAAAAAAGTTCATGAAATTTGGTACAGTTATTTAATTATTGGTATTTTGGTTACAGTTGTTTGAAACAAAAACAAAAGATAGAAATTTAGTAGCTTAAAACAGAACAAAACACAAATGTTAGATGTGGTGTTCAAACAAAAAAGTTGATATTTTTTATGTTAATTTTTTTCATCACATAGTAAATCTAAAATTTCTTGATTTTTGTGTCCCCACCCCGTAGTATATATTTAGTAGAAGCCATAAAATTGTGTTCAAAATATTTAGATTTTAGCATTAAATAAATAATAGAGGTAGATATGCCGCGAAACAAAATCAACCAACCAACAATCAAATGCAGCTCATGTCAAACATATTAGTTGTATGTCTAGATATATTAACATTGGTTATTAGGCGGTTCCCAGGGGAGCACTAGTCAATTAATTAATCTAACGAATTACTGATATTGTGGTGATCTCCATTCTCACCGGGTACGCTATAATTCTGTACATCCATTCTCACTGGGTACCCTATAATTCTGTACATCCATTCTCATCGGGTACCCTATAATTCTGTACATCCATTCTCACTGGGTACTCTATAATTCTGTACATACATTCTCACCGGGTACCCTATAATTCTGTACATCCATTCTCTCCGGTACCCTATAATTCTGTACATCCATTCTCATCGGCACCTTATAATTCTGTACATCCATTCTCACCAGGTACCCTATAATTCTGTACATCCATTCTCACCGGGTACCCTATAATTCTGTACATCCATTCTCACCGGGTACCCTATAATTCTGTACATCCATTCTCACTGGGTACACTATAATTCTGTACATCCATTCTCACCGGGTACCCTATAATTCTGTACATCCATTCTCACTGGGTACCCTATAATTCTGTACATCCATTCTCACTGGGTACCCTATAATTCTGTACATCCATTCTCACCGGGTACCCTATAATTCTGTACATCCATTCTCACCGGGTACCCTATAATTCTGTACATCCATTCTCACCGGGTACACTATAATTCTGTACATCTGATTAGCCGGATATTGCAAATACTTATTCCTCTTCTCGTACCCTGCAAGCTACCTTGTTGAGATTAATGTAAATTTATTTACGACATAAAACGAAAAAGCAAACATAATGGATGATTTTTTATTACTGAACCGTCTCATCATTTGTTTGTCTTTCTTTTTTGCTTATTTTGATCGAGTAAGTTATTTGTTTCTTTATTTAATTATATGAACATAAAAATGGTTGGTTCGGATTTGAGCTTATGCATGAATATCGAAAATCAGTGTTTAACATTGTTTAACCATAGTCTAGTATTGTTCTCTTAAAATCTTTCACACTTTATTGTATAAATATCAATCTTTCCCAACAGCAAAATCATATTTAGGATATGCACTTAACTGAAAGAGAAAGCCATGAACCTAAAACTCTGTAGACAATGTCACAAAGGAACATATATTGTAAGTAAGATAAATGGCTGATACTCATGTTTTTTATTTTTATTCAGTGCAATAAAAGCATTTTTAAAATTTGGGCAGTTTTTTTTTCATATCAGAGTGTGAAAAATACTGGTTTGCGATTATATATTATAACAGGAGGATAATTCGGTTAATGTGCACTGTAACACCCACACTTACTTCACATTAAAAATTTCCAAAATACTTATATTTATGTGTAATTATACATGCTCCATTCGAATCTGGCTTGATAAATTTAATAAAATCTACCGTTTTGGAGTTATCGACAGTGAAATTTGGGATTCAATCGCATTTGTTGGCGGCAGCCATTACTCGCGTTGTTTGCATACATTTGCTGTGGAAAGCTAAACGCCAAAGACTACGCAAAACTAAGCTTGGAACTGATCTTTGTTGTCTAAATTTGTCTCAATTACTGCGCACGAGAACTATTTATGTAGAAACGCCCAATTTGTGCAATGATAGCTACACTGATAGCTATTCTGCAGCGAATATATACAAACAACGACAGTAATTGCTGTCCGCGACGCGAATGAATCCGGATTCTCACTGTCGATAACTCCAAAATGGTAGATTTTATCAAATTGATCAAGCCAGATTCGAATGGAGCATATACAGTTGCACATAAATGTAAGTATTCTGGAAATATTTAATGCGAACTGAACGCGTGTGTTACACTGCAAATTAACCGATAATTCTCTAATTTTCTGATTATGATCATAGTTTCTGGACGATTAAAAGGAAACTTAATGAAATACCAGCATTTTCAGAATTGTCTAAAAGAAGCAAGAAATAGAAACACCATCCAAATAAAATGGATATCGATAAAACAGGCTTTGAATTTAACATAAAGCAGACAATCAGTTCCTTTTTTAAGAATGTTGATTCCAGTAAAGATGAACGTGTTTCCAGATTTGCTATCAGAGGAGAACTTTGTATTTCCAGTAAGGTTTGTACAAAAAAAACCCTCCCCCTTGAAAAGGAACATTGCTGATAGAAAGTAATTGCTTTTCACAAGGACAATATCTTCTTTGAATAATTTCTCAGATTCTAGATACGCATAATAAATTCTACAGAAGATCAATTGAAACATTTAGAATCAACAAGGAAATTTGGAAGGAGTGGCATAATGCTGTGTGACTGTTTCAATAGTGAACGTGTTGGTCTACTGATTATTTGCAATGTTTATTTCATTACAACGTGCTACAAAGAAGACATTCTAAAATATCATTCCCGTCATCAGACAGCTTCTCCATCCCAATATGGCAATATACCAACAGGATAATGTTCCTATAGATTCGACTAAATCAGATAAAGGAGGTCAAATTATTTTGGTCCAGGAAGTGTACAGGCCCCAACATTCTAAAGAATTTGAAGTGGATAATCAGGATCCAAGAACTTTTATTAGAAAAGAACGATTCATTATTATTAATAGATCAACAACAATAGAACAATCTGGGTGGTTAATTGTTGAAGGAAAGGTCACGCACGCAGAGAAAGGTGTGCGTCTCGCGAGCGGTGGCATTACGCCGGACCTGTGTGCGCACTGGACTGGCCAGCCATACGGTCGATCAACCACGCCGTGTCGTCGACCGACCGAGCGCAAGCGAGTAGCAGTCGTCATCACTTAGTTTTGTCCAGCTTGATGAAACTGGTCCGTCTACCCACTTATGGAATCCCAGTCTCCGGCCGGGCTACGCCGAAGCACGTACCCGAGTTAGCTTGGTCTGTTCGACTTTCTGATTGCAGTCTGCCCGTCCGTGTAGTTTTTTGTCCAAATTTGCCCAAATGAATCAAAAGTCGATTCATATTAACTGAAAAATTGTAAGATTTATTAATTTTTGGTTAACTCTAAGCATAAATTTGATTTTTATTTAAGTTCAAATACAATGAATGATTTCATTTTTAAAAATCTACATAATTTAAAATTTCAAACTCGACACATTATCTATTTTGGGATTTTTTATTGAGGGTATATTTCTTTCTACCAATCCATTCAAAGCAAGGCGATGATAACACTGAGATGCAAGGGGCTACTAGAACTGAAAAGGAAGGAATTTTTTTAGAACGAACGGGAAACCCAATTCTAAACAGAAAACCAGTGATAAACCTATACTCCTGTTCAAAAGATCTCGGAGGTGTGTGAACTGGACTATATTCAGTGATTTTTGACAAAATCCAATGAAAAATCTGCAACTGTAGCTGTCCTAACCTAGCATCTCGGGTTCAGTCACTTTCCCGCTGCCGTAACGTGGCTTCCCTGTGTCTTTTCTACAAATATTTTCAATGTAATTGTTAGTACGAGCTTTACTTTTTGGTACATCAACTTCATGAATTTAAACGCAGAAGTAGATTGGCGGTTAGGTCTCATGATTTCACTGGTGTTAGCTTCGACCGTAATTTCTATGTTAATAGTTTCTTCTTTGCACTTTTTGCTTTTCACAAGCAAAAAGTGCAAAAAAGCCTCTTCCGGCTTGATCTGCCGTTAACAACGATCGTCAAAAATTTAAATTCAACATCTATATTTATTTACTGTCTCATTGAGTCCACTTCTTTCATTTTTCCTCCCTGTTTCTTTTGTACTTAGTTGTCCCTGGAGAGGCTGCTGGTTTTTTATTGCCTTGCTCGAGTTGAAATGATTAAAATGAAAGCCGTTGATAAATTTGTAGTTTTAGCTGATAGGAATCCTACGTGCTCGGTTCAGACGTGATAAAGCGGCCGACTCTTCCGCGATTTGGATCCAGTTGACATCTGTTGTCAGAAGCGGAAGTAATCACTTTATAGAAGTCATCAGTAGACAAGAATGGCGGCTGATCTCTTTTTGCCTTTCCCGCTATCAGTGGAAGTTTAACTCGAAAATAGTACTTTTAGCGTTATTTTTTTCATTTATCCGTTTTTATTCCTTCTTACAAATTGCGCTTTGTTTGTCACTTATTCATTTCTTCGTTTGATCGTCTCCTTCCGCCATATTCTTTTCAGTAGTTATTCTTTTCCTTTATTTCAAATATTTTTAGTGTTCTTCCTCATTTTTTTATTCATTTTTTTTTTTACCATTAAACAAAATTTATTGAAACAAAACAAGTACAGTTGACCACTGATGACAATTCCAGAACAATGTAACTATAAACAATTTTTTCTAACCTCTGCCAGCCGCAATGATAGAGAAAGCATTACCTCGAACCATCGCCAGTGAGACACACTGCAAGAGCCACTCCCTTTTCGCGAGGCTCGTCCCTTAATCGAGACACCATTGCGCCAATCCTCTGAAGGAACATCATCGAAAGAGGGCCAATAACTCCTGAAGTCTCCACTGCCACAGGAGTAAAAAAAAAATTATCAGCAAGAGAAGAATATTTAACTATTTTTTTCATCTCTGCGTCCCGGGCGACGGATCCTGGCTCAACCGCGGAACTGATCAAATTACCGACCGAAAATTTTATTAAATCATTCTCATTTTCTGCTTCCGACATTCTTAGTGAAGACATTTTTACCTTTTCTTTTTTTTAAAAAATAATTCTCTTTCTTTTCTTTTTACTTTTTTTTCAGCTGAATTAGTTTTATTTTACTAATATTTTCTTTTCCTTTCCTTCAAATATTCTTAGTGTTGTTTTCTTTTTCTTTTTTCATTAAATCATTTTAATTTTCTGTCCCGCCACTCCTACCGAATACATTCTTTGTTTTTCTTTGTTTAAAAATAATTTCTGTTCTTTCCTTTCTCTTTTTCTTCTTTTTTCTTTCACAGAATCATTGTATTTTACTAAGATAACATCTTTCAAATATTCTTCGGGTCCTTTTGTTTTCACTTTTCTTCCATCCAACCATTTTTATTTTTCGTAGTAAATATTTTTCTTTCTTTCTTTCTTTCTTTCTTTCATTCTTTCTTTCTTTCTTTCTATCTAATATTTTTAGTCTGCTTCCTTTTCCTTTTCTTTCCTTCAATCATTCTAATTTTTTGCAGTAAATATTTTTCTTTCTTTCTTTCTTTCTTTCTTTCTTTCTGTCTTTCTTTCTTTCTTTCTCATATTATTAGTTTCCTTCCTTTTCCTTTTGTTTTTTCCAATCATTCTTATTTTTCTAGGAAATATTTTTCTTTCTTTCTTTCAAATTCTTTCTGTGTTTATTTTTGTTCTTTCTAATATTATCAGTGTCCTTCCTTTTCCTTACCGAATGTTCCCTTTATTTCCTTTCTTTCATATATTTTACTGCATTTTCTCTTTCTCTTTCTCTTTCTCTGAAACACTTTTTATTTTCTACTTCTTTTTCTTTCCTTTTTTTTTCAAATATTCTTAATCTCATTTTCTTAATTTTCTCGATTTTGCTTAACGAATATTTTCTGTTTCTTTCGTTCACATATTTTGCCTGTTCTTTCTTTTTTCTCTTTCACTCAATTATTATTTTCCCCTTTTCGACATCTTTAGTGAATATTTTCATTTTCTTTAATTAATTTCAAATATAGTACGAGCCCTATTCTTTCATTTTCTTAATTTTTCAATCAATCATTCTTGGCGAACCTTTTCTTTCTTTCTGATATTTTTAGTATCATTTTCTTCTTCTCTTTTCCCACTTTTTACTGAATCATTCTTTATATTCTGTTTCCAACATTCTCTGCGAGTTTTCTCTTTCTTCTTTTTTTTTCTTACAAATATTCTTAGTTCCCTCCACTCTTTCTTATTTCTTTTTTCTTTCACTGAATCATTCCTATTTTTCGACAACCTTAGTGAATATTTTCTTTCTTTTAATCACTCATTGATTCCTGATACCTGTTAAATCTACACTTTGCCGGTACAAGATCGGCTGGGTTAGACGACAAAGATTGTGCTACGTTCATCTTCAAATTTCTTGCTTGTTTAGAAGGCAGTTACATGAAACGCTGGCGTCTATAATATAAATTGTACGGTGGAGTAATGGTTAGCGGCTCGGATTGAGGAATCTGGGATCCGCGTCCGAATTCCAGCCGAATTCATTACATTCACTACGTGCTAATATCCTTGGAGAAAGTATGAATCCATCTTTTCTCCTTTCCAAGCCATGGGTAAAATAGTAGGGTAAACTGGATTCTATACCCTTGCATGGCAACCAGTCTAGGTAGAAAGAAACTCTGGATTCAAAGCCACCTGCTGTTTTGTAGGTCCTGCTTCTTTAGGCAAAGACTAGAAGAAGGTAGTTTCAAAAATAAATCCATCTCTGAGAGTAGGGTCTGAATGCAAAGGAACCGGAAAGTCATTGCTTTATTTTACCTTCAGGGAGGGATAAGTTTTCTAAGCCCGCCATCCTTAATATGTATCCAAGGATTTTCATCTGTCGCTTTCTGATTCTGAGTATGCATCGTTTTTGTTGCCATTTTCTTTAAGATTCCGTGTTGTTTACTGATAACCGTCCATGGCATTCTCAGTATCCTTCTGTAGAACCATATTTCTTGTGCCTCTAGTTTTCTTCTCATCGGTGGGGAGGTTGCCCTCCACGCACTGTCATATGAGAGGAAGGATATCATATAGCAGTCCAGCACTTTTTTTATTTGTTTCTAACGAAATATTTTTGTTTCCCAGCAGGTCGCCTAGCTTTTGAAATGCTTCTTTCGCTAGTCCAATGCGTACTCGGATTCGCATTTCCCCCAGATGGAAACTCGAAACGGCACCCGACGACGTGTTAGCAACATTTACACCCAATCCCACCCCATTTACTAACTTTGTTTATGAAATTTATCATGAGTTTGGTAGTCGGTTGAACTTTATTGGCAGTTTTGCGTTCTCTCTTTTTCACTTCTGCCGGGACATACAACACCTGGTTGTGTCTCCATGTATAAATTGCAAGAGAAATGCTAGCAACCAAGAAACACGTGTTTAAGACTAACGACTTTCCCACATACATTTCATCGGTCTGAACACGCCAATCCCCTCCAGCTGTAGGTTAAGTGGGGTTGGCAAGATAGCGTATGCTACGTTTGTAAGGAATCATTATGGGTCCGTCTGGCTGGTGTCACCCGCTGTAATGCCCCACTTCACGTCCAAGCACTCTCTTTTGAATGAACAACTGCTATGGTGAGACGCTTACTCTTCTTAATAGGACGAAACTGTTCAACTACCATTCTTTTTCTAAATGTCGTGTCCCTTCAGGACGTGTGCGATTACGCTTCTCTACAATTTCCTATCCTTTGTAGTCGTTAGTAATGTTTGTCTTTTTGCTATATCACCTAATCCCTGTTCTGACAACGATTTGCATAATCTTATTAGACAGATCATGCACTAATTTCCTCTGTCCCTCTTGTCTTCAATATGTCCTGAGAGTGTTAAATTTTCTAAACCCACTTTCCTCATTATGTGACCTAGAAATTTCAACCATCAATTTCTGATGCTAAATATTCTTCTTCTTTGATGCGTTGTTTCATTTCAGGATGTGGGAGATAATGGCTCTCCACAACTTCCTGTACTTTGTAGCCCTTTGTAAGGCTTGTCTTTTTGCTATCTTTCCTAATCCCTGGCCTGTCAACCATTTGTATAAGCTCGTTAGGTAGGTTATGCAATGCTTTCTTTTGTTCCTTTTGTCGTCAATATGTCCTGTGAATGTTAAATTTTCTAAGCCCACTTTCCTCATTATGAGCCCTATGAATTTCAACTGTTTAATTCTGATGCTCCATATAATTGTCTTTTTGTTTCCATTTTCTCAAAAACTTCGTCGTTGCCTATGTACTCTGTCCATGGTATTCCCAGCATCCTTCTGCAGAACCATATTTCTGTTGCCTCAAGTCTCTTCTCCATCTGTGATGAGATGGTCCAGCATTCATCGCGATATACGAGAACCGATAAGTAAGATTTTACTTTCCCGGTTTCTTAATATTTCGCTTAGCATTTGGAAGGCATTTTTCGCTATTCCAATTTACCTTCGGATTTCGGTGTCACATTTTCTGCCCTCTGTGAAAATACTTCCTTGATATTTCAATTATTGTAATTAATTTTAAATGAGTTTAATTTTGATATTTTCAGTTTTTAATTCGGATGTTGTGCTGTTTCTTTCGCCGAGAACCAAATATTCTGTTTTCTTACAGTTCTCCACGTTTTCCTTTACTATTTCCTGCAGGAGTTTGTGTCTTTTTTTTTTTTTTTTTTTTTTTGTTAAGCGTTTCACCCCAAGCACGGCGGGAAGCCATTAGGACGCAAGGGGTTACAGAAGATTTGGAGCAAGATCAGATCAGATAGGAGTGATAGAGGAAAGGATGAAGAGAAAGATAGTGGATAGATTAAGGCAACTGGAGATGTCGATTGACATTACATTTGAATAGTTGGAGATTATAGCTCTCAGGGGAACTGGAATAGAGAAGGGAGTTCCACAGGCGAGAGGTGCGAGATATGAAGCTATTGGAGTAGAAGAGTCGGCTACATTTAATAGTTTCGACAGTGAAAGGGTGAGAGCGGGATGCCAGCCTCGTAGGTCGCTTGAACTCATGAAGTCTGGGAACCAGCGATTGCAGCTCCTTGGAGCAATTACCATGAAAGTATTTGTAAAACAGACAGAGAGAGGCGACGGCGCGTCTGTGAGAAAGTGACTGTAGACGAGATGCCAGATCAAGGCCAATTATATTGCATATCCGCCTCTGGAGCTTATCAAGAACCCCGAGGCAAACAGAAGGGGCTCCAGACCATATATGGCAGCAATACTCCATGCAAGGGCGAAATGTTGATTTGTAGATCTGAAGGATCGATTCCGGGGAGAAAAATGTCATGGCGCGGTACAGGGAGCCAACTGCTATCAATGTTGTTATGCATATCAAATCTGCATATCTGTGTCATCTGCGTATCTATTGCTGTTATGGCCGTCAATAATGAATCTTGATAGGACTTCTAATTCTCTCAGAATCGTCTCGCTGTATAGGTTGAGTAAGTCCGGTGAGAAGACACATCCTTGTCTTAAGCCCCTTTCTAATTTTTCTCTATTCAATGAATCTATTTTCTATCCACATGTGGGCATTTTTCAACCAGTGTAATTTATGTATTATTCTAAGATGCTTCTCAAATCAAACATACCTAGATGTTTAAACAGTTTTTTTCTGGATTGGCTTATAAAACGCTTTTGTATAATCAATAAAATATATATAGTATTCTATACAAATTAGATAGACAAGTATAAATAGAGAACAACTAGCGAACATAGGGAATGCCTAGCAAACCCGTTCGTTATTCAGGACGAGAACTGGACTACGACTGCTACATCACAGAGATATCCAAAACATAACAATATAGGTGTATATCCTTTTTTATAGCTCCTTCTGATATCATTCTGAGCATTCCTAGTTTCAGTGTGTTTAACGAAATCGCACTGTTCTTGTCCTATCAGTATGGTTCTACTGCGCACGCTCTTATCTCGTCTATTTCCTGTTGTCAATAATATTAACGTGAGGAGGAAACAAAATTAAAAGCTGCCAGTATCTTATTCTTTGTTTCAATCGGGTTAAAGACTCTGCTTCATCTATAGTCGTCTTAACACTCTGTTTCCGACATGTCACTCCGGATAGTCTCACGGTCGGATAAAAGACGTAATGTGACGGCTTTCCAAAGTGCATTATTCACAGCAAAATAAAATTGTTTCTTTCAAAACTTAGTTCACAGGGACAACTACAATGATATTAAGATATTTTATCGTAACCAGTTACAGAAACAAATACAGACGGGATGAATTCGCGTTTAGGAACATTATAAAACAAAAAGATGGCGGAATGGTGGAGTAAAGGATTGAGGAATCGGTGAGCCGAGTTCGAATTCTAGTCAAATCCATTACATTACGTGCTATTATCCTTAGGAAAGGTATAGATCCCCATCTTCTTCCCACCCCACAGCTATGGGTAAATAGCAGAACAGACCGGGTTCTATAGCCTTGGATGGCAACTGGTCTACTGGTCTAGCCTTGGATGGCAACTGGTCTACTGTTCTAGCAAGACGGTCGAACTCTCTGCCTTCGGGCAGAGAGAAACCCGTACGAGGCTCTGCCGAAGGGCAGGGTCTCGTTCGGGGAGGTTGACCAACCCGATTCTGTTTTTACAGTTTTTACGGGCCTTTTTTGGCCTAGCCTACGGCCTCGGAAAACCCACGTAAAAGTCGACCTTGTGCCACATCTTTTCCTCGTTAAGTAAATATTGACTTGCTAGAATCTGTTCCAGCAAGACGGGCAAACTCCCTGTCTCCGGGCAGAAAGGAACCCGGACGAGGCTCCGCCGAAGGGCAGTGTCTCGTTTCGGGGAGGTTGACCAACCTAATTGTGTTTTTACAGTTTCTATGGACATTTTTTTGCCCGAGCCTACGGGCTCGGAAAACCCACGTAAAACTCGGCCTTGTGCCACATCTTTCCTTCGGGGGGGGGAAGTAAATATTGAACTTATTATCAGAAATAAAATATCCGACCGAAATAATTTGTGATAATAGATGGCCCTCAGAGAACAGCGTACCAAATGAAAAAAAAAAAAAAAAAACACAAAAAAAACATTAGTCAATAATTATAGGATTAAATAAGTTTGCTTCTTGTCGGTCATATGAGTAGGAATAGTTTTCCTGATTAGCATTGGATTCCCCGTTCCTTCTTATTCTCTCTCACTCCAAGTATCTCCTTGCTTCTTAGTGGCATTGCCTGCTTTGCTTGGAGTGAATTGATTAAAAAAATATTATGTTCAATACACACCGCCACTCGCCTGTCAAGACGACTGACTCTATATTTCTCTGACCAGAGCTCAAT